TATCCACTACTATGAAACTCACAAACCCCAAGCGTTACTTATATTATTATATTAATAATGCGTTTCACATTGAAATTCCGAGACTAATAGTATCGGTACAATAGGAGACTAATTAAATAGTCCAGGACGAAACTAATAGTGGACGGCAGGAATTTTAAAAATTGGGCTCAGAAACGGTATGCTTATCTTTTGTATCTTTTAGTGAATAATTTCTACTTTAGTTACTAATATTGCAATGTTACGCATATTTAAGGCAAATATAGCCGCATGCATTACGCACTTCGATGTTTCCCCGTCCATAAGTAGACGCATAGGAACGCCAGTTGTATATTAGCAATTTTGCAGCACAGCGTGCCCAGCTGATTGAGTAGACATCAGTTGGCACTCATTTCAAAACCGTTTTGCTGCACATCTCGTCTGTGTTCTGTTTTGCGGATAACGACCCCCGTCGAGATTTTCGCTCGCACTTTTCAGATTTCTGTATCAATACGGCGAACCACTATGTCATCCAAGTGCATAAGTTGTAGCAAACGCGTCACTTCCCGCTCAAAAGCTGTTCAGTGCGCTCTGTGTGAAGGGTGGCTGCACACTTCGTGCTGTAACATCGATGACGCCCTATATGAATGCCTTCAACGCACTGCCTCTGAGGTCATGAGCTCACATTGTGACTCATGTCGAGTAATAGTGAATGACAAACGCCTTCTGGCTAACCATCGTCCTCTCAGTATATGCAGCCCTGTCACCTTGGCCATGTACAATACGGAAGATGAGTCACCCCCATCATCCATTTCCCTACCTGCATCTGGGTCTGCTACACCCAAACCAAATCGAACCCGCACTCTCTCCGCTACGTCGGCCGAGTCATTACCGTCCAGTAAGATGATTTGTCGACCGAAAAATAAGCCCGCGACGTATGCTGCCGTGGCGAGCGCCACCGCTCCAACAACAACCAGCCTGTGCCCAGCTGAAAGCACGCCCCCACGAAAGCTGGTCTCTAAGCCCAAGGCGAAATCCAACACCTGGGATAACTCTTCCATAGTGAAGGGAAATGTGACCCCGACCTTAATCAGTCAAAGCCCAGCCACCAATGCTGTTAAGTTTAATCCCAAATCCGGGGATAAACCCAATTCTAAGCTCTCAGCATCTCAGTCGCGAATGAAGCTAGTTCTCAATAGACTTTCTGAGCTAGAGAAAGTGATCAAAGAAAATCCGTCCTCTCGCAGACCGCAGATGCCTGAGCGCACTCCACCTTCTCGGGACCGTTGCCTCATCATTATGAACGCAGCCGAATCGAACAAAGCCACCCCAGCGGAAAGAATTCTGGATGACCAAATTCTTCTCGAGCGCTTGATCTCTTTGTTATTTGATGAAGGGGAACAGGGGATTAACATCGTCTCTGCATTCCGGCTCGGCAGGAAGCAAGAGGACCCAACCAAATTTCGTCCCCTCAAAGTCGTGTGTCAGACGGAAGAGGAATGCCGACGTATTCTGCGACGGACCTCGCGTCTCAAAGGTGAGCCATATTACGTACTACGTGATCTTTCTCCAGAGGATCGGATAAAAATGAAAAAGGCTGTTGAGGAGCTACGAACACGCCGAGGAAATGGTGAAACTGACCTTCATATTGTGGATTTTTGCGTGGTTCGGAAGACCCTGAGAGCCCGTTGGAGACCCATTCTTCTCATCCCGGGACAATAAAACACACAAGTGGACTATTCGTGTTAACCGCCAATGTGCGCAGTCTGAGGAATAAATTGGATGAGATTCAGTTGATTGCCTCAGAGACCTGCCCGGACTTAATGGCCTTCACTGAAACCTGGCTATTCACCGACATCACGGATTCAGAGGTGTCTATCCCTGGTTATCACCTCTCCCGATCCGATCGACAAGGAGGGAGGCCCGGCGGTGGTGTAATAGTCTATTGGAAGACTGATATTAAAGTGCACGTAGTTGAAGCGATCAGTGACAAAGACGATGAGTTTGATGCACTCTGGTGTCGTGTTCATGATGGTCGGAGTTCTCTCTCATTTGGTGTTGTCTACAGAGCGCCTTCAGGATCCGGAGCCCGATTGATGGACTCGATCAGGAAGCATGGTGCACGAAAGGATTGTCTTATCGTTGGGGATTTCAACGCTCCTTCTGTTGACTGGAACCTGTTTCTTTGTGACCGACCTACAGAATCCTTCGAGGCTAACTTACTGGAGACCATTCTTCATTGTAATTTGCTCCAACACGTCACTACACCAACTCGTATTCCTCCAGATCAGACGCCGCATATCCTGGATCTCGTGCTCTCCCCAACACAATCAGACATCACGAACCTTTCAGTTCTACAGCCCATTGGCAGCAGTGATCACTGTACTGTCTCATTCCAGTGGTCACGTCGCCTCGCTGTTCACAGTCAACGTGCCGACCGTCGGAATTTCTGGCGTGCCGACACAACTCGTTTGAAAACGGCGGCAAGCATTGTCGATTGGAGTATCCCTGAACACCTCAATGTTGACGAAGCGTGGCATCACTTGTACTCCAAGCTGACGTTACTCATTGAACAGGTCATCCCCTTCTCCAAAAGAAGACCCTTCTCCAAAGGCCCTCCATGGATCGATCGCGAATTGAGATCAATGATGAAAAGAAGGCGTAAACTGTGGGATCGTTTCAGAATTACGCGAGTTGAGCTTGACTACTGCCACTACAAAACGGTCAGGAATGCTTGTAACATAAAAAACGCGAGAAACGCCAAAAGTACGAACTGTCATTAGCTGCACTTTCTAGTACAAACTCCAAGGCGCTCTTCTCATACCTCAAACGAAGCACTAAAGCTGGAAGTGGTGTCCCTGCCTTGTCTCCCTGTGAGCATTTGGACCTAGTCTACGAAGACGCTGAGAAAGCTAGCCTTTTGGCCCAGCAATATTCCTCTGTCTACTCGACCGAAACGCCACTCCCAGATAGCGTTGCACCCACTCCTCCTTTCCTGCTGGAGCACGTGAATGTTTCCACTGACGTTGTAATGAAACTTCTACTTGACCTAGACCCGTATTCCTCGCCTGGTCCCGATGGTCTACACCCATTGTTCCTTAAGACCGTGGCCGGACACATTGCCGCTCCTGTATGTCAAATTTTCCGTCGTTCCCTTGAGGTCGGGCGGCTTCCAACTGCTTGGAAGGTGGGAACTGTTAAACCCATTTACAAAGGAGGGAACCGACAGAATCCAGCCAGCTATCGTCCCATCTGTTTGACTTCGATTTTGTGCAAAGTCATGGAACGGATTCTGAAACGGGCCCTTCGCCTACATCTCGATGAGTTGGAGTTCCTATCTCATGCCCAACATGGTTTCCGAAGGGCGCGTTCATGTGCTACAAATTTGCTGGTAGCTAGGGAAAAATGGGCAAGATCCTTAGATGCCGGTAAGCGTCTGGATGCTGTGTTTGTCGATTTCAGTAAGGCTTTCGACAAGGTCCCACATGAGCGGCTCCTCTTCAAACTCCGGGGAATCGGCGTCACTGGCAATTTTCTTTCATGGGTCTCCGATTTCCTGCAAGGTCGCTTCATGCAGGTCAAAGTTAACGAAGCGCTTTCTGATCAAATTCTCATGACCAGTGGGGTCCCCCAGGGTTCTGTACTCGGCCCCGAACTCTTCAATATCTTCATCAACGACCTGCCATCCGAACTGCAGACCGACTGCTTAATCTACGCGGATGATCTGAAGCTGTGGATTGAGGTATCCAGTCTGGAAGATGCAGACATACTTCAAGCGACACTCGATCAGCTCCACGATTGGTCACTAAAGTGGCAGTTGCCCATTAACCATGACAAATGCGCTATCCTTCCAATCGGTGCTCCTGAGCCTTTTGGGGCTTACCATATCGGGGGTTTCCTGCTCAGAAATGTCAACCAAGAGAGGGACCTAGGGGTGATTGTGTCTCCTGATCTCAAATCAATCGAGGACACCCGGAAGAGGGTCGCATCCGCATACAGAATACTTCACGCTATACGGAGAGCCTTTTCACGCCTGACCCCAGCACTCTTCAGATTACTGTTTGCTTCTCATGTACGCCCAGTTCTCGAGTACGGATTGCCTGCTGCGTACCCGCTCACTAAGTCCGAACGTGACATGATCGAGAAGGTTCAACGGCGTGGATCCAAATCCGTTCCAGAGCTTCGGGACTTATCCTACCTCCTCCGGCTTCAACGGTTGAACCTGTTCTCTTTGGATTATCGTCGTCGCCGCGGAGATATGATATTCACTCGGCGTATTCTACGAGGTGAGCTGGGGAGTGAGCTGCAATCGTTCTTTTGTCTAAACACAAGTTGTGCAACTCGAGGCCACCGGTGGAAACTTTTCAAACCGCGGCGACTCCGTGTACGGTCCGATCTGGCCCTATCCACCCGGGTAGTGAATGACTGGAACAGCTTGCCAGAAGCTGTCGTCGATGCGGAGACGGAGGAATGTTTCAAACGACGGTTGGATACCCACTCTCTGAGTGCGCAGGGATTCTGCTGCCCACAATACAACCATAGCGATCTTCTGCTGAACCTTGTTCCGCAATGATCCCAGCAACCCTCGCAATGTCCGGGAAGTGACGGAGCTGACAAAGGAACTTCCTTCTGCTCTCTACTAACCAATGAACCAATGAATAGACAGGACGCCAAAAACACGCATAAAAGATAACCCACGGACTATTAACGGTCGATCGTGCCAAAAGCTTGTCAAAAAATATAGCTTTTACCGTATACGTTGCGGAAATCCAATGTTTTTAACGGACTTCCAAGACTGCGTATTAGTTAAATACAGCATCCATGAAAACAGGCGACCTAATTTTGACTGATAGCCATACAATGCGCGAACTGTGCCATATTAGACAAAGGGGTGTGGAACTTACTTTGTCTAATTAATTTACCAAATTTACAGCATTTAGTTAACCGTATTGCCAAGCATTCGAAGCGGCGGCAACGGATAATAGCTTTTTAGCACACTAAAACAGTTTTAAGGTTACACCAGATTAGAATGTCAGAGTCTAGAGTTTAATTGTTTTACTCCCGTCTGCCCAATCAACAAACGTCACCATCTTTAAAGTGCCCTGCTAGATCTGCGACTACCGGGCAGCGTTTTTCCACGAGCACCCACACTCTCCTTCGCGCACGTGTCCGCTAGCTTCATAAAGTGAATATGCACTACTTGGCTGCTTTTATGCTGTGTCGATTGGGTGGGAATGAGTCGCCCAGCGCAGCTGACATAGAAAATGTACTTGCTTCTGTTGGTATCGAATCGGATTTTACCAGAATGAAACAGGTTCGCTGCGTTTTCTCGCTATCTTTGCCTAGTTAATGGATTGTGTCTCGGGATCCGACATCACGAAACTGATGGCAGACGGCTTTTCGAAGATGGCTGCCGTCCCTACGGGTGCAGCTGCCGTACGACCTGCGGAGGCTGTCACAACTGCTGCTGCAGAACCGGCTAAAGAGGCTCCAAAGAAAGAAGAAGTAAAGGAGGAGTCTGAGTCTGACGAGGAAATGGGTTTTGGGTTGTTTGATTAATGTAAAATCACAATAAAATGTCTGCAGTCATACGCTTTATGTCTGAATTCAGAGCGTCTTAACCTCGTTAGTGTTTCGCTGTCTGTACCTGTGCTCGCGTGCACAGCTCAGTTTTGTGACAGTAATTTCACTTTAATGTGCGGCCTTCAATTCGAACGTATTTAGTTTATTCATTCATTGAGTTCATTGAGTAGTAGAGAACAGGAGGGAAATCCCTTGTCACTCCCATCGATTCCGTATTATACTGGGTTTGATGCGTGTCGTTGCATTACGACGTTCCTCGAGGGTTCGTCGCAATTGCAGTGACAGCCGCAAAGTTCCAGCATTCTCAATGAATGTCTATCAGCTGCTTGAGACTTACCTCGGATGGAGTGTCTGCAATTTCTTCCTGTAGGCTGTTCCAATCATTCACCGCTCTAGTGGATACGGTGACGTTTATGCGAATTGTCTTTTTTGCTTAAACAGTTTCCATGTGTGACCTCGTGTGTAACAGTCAGTGTTGGGCCGGAAGAATTGCTGTAACTCACTCCCAAGTTCCCCTCGGAGGATGCGTCTAGTGTAGATGAGATCACCCCGGCGACGGCTGAGCTCAAAGGAGAACAGATTTAGCTGCTGGAGTCGAATGGGGTACGGGAGATCACGAAGCCCCAGAACAGCTTGCGATGCACCAAGCCAAGCTTCTTTTCGAGCTAAATCCGAACTCATCACCAGGTCCTGATAGGCTACACCCTTTGTTTCTCAGAACCCTAGCTGAGTACATTGCTGTACCTGTTTGCCAAATTTTTCAGCGGTCTCTTGATGCGGGGCGTCTCCCGCTTGCTTGGAAAATGGGCACCGTCAAGCCCATATATAAAAGTGGAAATCTTCAGGACCCCGGAAACTATCGACCAATTTGCTTAACATCTATAGTTTGTAAAGTCATGAAACGAATTCGCAAACGAGCCCTTCAGAGTCACCTTGACGGCTTGAATGTCATTTCCTCTGCGCAGCACGGCTTCAGGCGGTCTCGCTCATGCGTTTCCAACCTGCTCGTTGCCAGAGAGAGGTGGGCCAGGTCATTAGATGCCGGAAATCGCTTAGACCTTGTCTTCGTCGACTTCAAGAAGGCATTTGATACAGTACCGCACGAACGGCTTCTGTTTAAACTTCGGAGTATTGGTTTTTCTGGTGAGATTCCCTCATGGATCACTGATTTTCTGGATGGCCGTAGCATGCGAGTGAAGGTGAATGAGGTCTACTCCGCCTCCGTTCCCATGACCAGTGGGGTTCCACAAGGCTCTGTCCTTGGCCCCGAGCTGTTTAAAGTCTACATTAATGACCTTCCATCTGTACTCCAGACCGATTGTCTGCTTTATGCGGATGACCTGAAGATATGGATGGAGGTACCAACACCTGAAGCCGCTGACCGACTGCAAGAGAAGCTAGACCTGCTTCATAGCTGGTCTTCGGAATGGCGTTTACCCATCAATCTTGAGAAGTGCTCTGTCCTGCCGATCGGCTCTTCTGACCCATTTGGCGCCTATCACATTGGTGGTTTCTTGATCAGGGATGCTGCCTGTGAGAAAGACCTTGGTGTACTCGTATCTCCCGATCTGCGTACCACCGAGGACACCCTGAGGAAGATAGCGGCTGCGAATAGGATGTTCTGTGCCATTAGGAGATCGTCCTCCCGAATGACTCCAGAGGTCTTCAGACTTCTATTTTCTTCCCATGTGCGCCCTATCCTCGAGTACGGTTTGCCTGCGGCCTACCCTTTTACAAAGACAACGTGTTATGATTGAAAGAGTTTAGCGACGAGGCTCGAAATCCATCTCAGCGATCCGTGACCTGCCTTACACTCAGCGTCTTCGACAGATGAACATGTTTTCCTTGGACTACCGTCGACGTCGGGGGGATCTGATTTACACCAGACTGATATTGCGAGGACAGATGGGGAGTGAACTGCAAGAGTTCTTCCAACTCTGCGCTGATAGCTCGACACGGGGTCACTCTTGGAAACTGTTTAAGCCGAGGAGGGTCCGGATTCATTCTGATTTCACCCTATCAACTCGAGTGGTAAAGGACTGGAACAGCTTGCCTGAACTGGTCGTTAGTGCACAATGTGAGGAAAGTTTTAAGAAACTGTTAGACTCCTATTTGCTGAGTATGCAAGGATCCTGCTGTTTTCGGTGCGACCGTAATGGTCCCTTGCGGAATACCGCCTCGCAGCATGTCGCACAATCCTTGCTCTGAACGGGATGTGATGGAGCTGACACAGGATGCCCTATCTGCTCTCTACCACTCCAATAATGCACGTCTCTGAACCTTTTCCAGCAGAGCGCATTCACACTTTGAAAGCTGATGGCTAGCTGGAAGGCCATATTCTAAGACTGGACGGACGTACGGAGTGAACAAAGATCGAAAACTCTCAGGAGTCATTCGAGCGAATGATCTTAAGTCACCCACCAGTCTCCTTCCAGTGGCCACTTTCTTCAACGTGTCCCGCGTCGTTCTAAGATCAGGAGTCACGATAACTCCGAGATCTCTCTTGTGGGTGGTAGTTGTGAGGAAAAACCCACCAATGTGGTATTCACCGTACGGTTCAGTGCTACCCATTGGGAGAACAGCGCACTTATCTCGGTTTACTGGCAGTTCCCAGTATATTCTCTGTAAAACGAGACACACCTCTAAAAGGCATGATCAAATATGCATACAAGCATAGCTTCTTTGGAATATTAAAACATTTCGTTACAATGAAAGGAATAAACGAAAAGAAGTAGTCCATAAGAGCGAGCATATTGTCAGGTAATAGTCAGACCAAGGATCATAATGGCGCCGTGGCGCGCAAAAACTGTTGCGTCAAGATACAAGTGGGGGGTAAATTTGCCATGTAGTGATCCATGAGCACAGGAGACCGAACAAGGTTTAGTGCAATCGATGACCATTACGAAGCCGGGATGATCGGTACTCCACTAAAGCATTCTTCATAGTAAAATCAGTTGCACAGGTTCGATGTTGGAGGCTGAGGACTGCGTCAGTGTGAAATGTATAGCTGTGACTTTATTTTGTGGCGAGTCACATCCGCCACGTTGCAGTGTTGTTAAGCGGACATTTGTGGCTTTTTATAGGGAGAACGCTTGCCAGGCGAAAACCCACCACGTCCTGGAACACTGTCGTAGCTTCCGTTGAACTGTAGTGCTAGTCGGCTATGCATCGTATAGACCGATTTTGCACTCTATTATTCGCAGTCGGTTGACAGCCCAAATTTTTTCGGTGGTTGGCCAAATGGCTTAGTACTGAACCGGCAATAGTCGTTGAAGCCAGTCAATGATGTAAAAGAGTCGCAGAGTCGAATGATAATGATGCGGGTGAGTAAACATATTGTTAATAGAGGCCGGCTTTTTCTATTATATTGTCCGGCTCGCAACCCGTGTCCAGCTATCCATGCTGGACTTGTCATAGGGACGGTGAGTGCAGTTGTTTCTTGTGTCTGAATATGTCCAAAACAGGAATAAATGCTATCCTCCGCGAAGTGGACAAGTATTTCCTTCAAATGTAAGTGTAATTGTTTCCATGACCAAGTGAGAACTCCAGGAAAAATCATCGGAAAAGACGCTTATGCGCGCGCAGTGCTGTCCGTGAAATGACATCAGAAAAGCTCCAGGTGACTGGAGAATCGGAATGTTTGAGGCAGTGAAGGTAATCACGCCAGAATTGTCAGTCTCCGGTTGTGGAACAGTGGATCCATTGTGAGTACGAGGCGAGCTAAACCCATTTGTTTAGACCCCGTGGTGGTAGCTTCTCCAGAATGGCGGAAAGAGCTCCATTTGGAACGATGTGTGGGTTCTTCACCTCCCGGAGAAAAGAACAAGCATGTAAACCAGCTGGCTATTGAAAGTGGGTCGACTATTCCCAGTGGATAAACCTTCTTGTTTTGGCGGATGTATCTGTGGAAATCTCGGGAGAAAACGGGCAACGGACAAGAGGCAGCCAAACAGAAAGACAGCAACGAAGCAAGAAGCACAAACACAGACTGGTGGCGCGCAACGGTGCCTATGATACATTAAAATTTATGTAATTTTGTTTAGTATACATGATTTGCAAGCGCGTTCTTTACATCACGTCGCTGGTGTGCCTCAGACTACAACTACTAGGTAGAAAGAATGGTATAACAAAGCGTGTTGACAACGTTAAGCGATTAATATGATTGTAGGAGAGTAACAGGTAAACCGATTATGATGACAGCAGACCGAATGCGAGCGGCATCTTATGTGAAACTAAGGACAACATGGTTGAGACCGAATGCGGGAGCAACATAGGTAAAGCAACGTTCCAAGAAGAAAAGGAAATTTAAGGAATCAGCTATGAGCGGAAGAATGCGGACGGCAGTGCGAAGAGTAACTCATGAGAGCAGTTAAGAGACGATAGTCAGGATGAAAAAGGTTTACTACTAAAGTGTGGTGAGCCAGGGACGCTCTCGTGCGAAGTATGAAACGTTCAGTGCTGAAATAGCATCGGTAATATCCCGGTAATCTGAGAGAACTCTGAGAGCCGGAGACCGAACAGACGAGACTCGAGAAGTCGACACATCCAGAGGCCTCATAGTAGTCCCAGAGAATTTCACTGATCAGATAATGACAAAGAAGGGCATGGCACTAAGCGTCGGTCATCCGATTGAAGATTTGAGGGTACAGGTTACTGATGGAAGTGCCTATATTAATCAAGGGTAAACAAGTCTAGCGGGCTGTCAATATAAGCCAGACATAGTTGTGAGTCTAGAGAGATTAGATCGGTATATCTTGCTAGTCTGGAAAAGGTCAAAGGAGCATACCGGTCAGATGAGACTAGGTTATTACAAGCCACTAAGAGTTGGCAGTCCGATTAGAGAAGAAATGATAGTACAGGGGCCATAAGGATAGAGAGAGGTTTACTAATAAGGTGTGGAAAAGTCCACGGGGCTCGAGAGGTAATGGGGACGGAGCGTTCAGTCTCCCGAGCATAGCAGGCAGCGTCGCAGAAGTAGGAGCGAAGAAGACCGAGCTGCCGAGGTTGG